AGGACAGCTGGGGCTACAAGGAGACCCTGTCTCAAAAAAAGACCAAAAAAATAATAATAATAGTAATAATAATAAAATACTTTAAAAAGGAAAAAGAAAATACTGGATTATCCTAACACTAGTATACCTTCCTTTTCTCCTTGGAGGGTTGCCTCATTTAGAATGAGAGTATCTAAAGTGAAGAAAATTACAACAATCCCTAGAATTTACTTGATACTGTGGTGTTAAATGATATGGTGTATCTAAAGATTTAAAATAATTTTTCAGTTGTCATCTCATTTCTATAGCCATCATCCCCCAGATGATCTTAAATCAATCCCATGGAAAGGTGAGGTATGACTGAATGATCATCATGGAATCAGGTCATGATTTACATAAGTGACTAATGTTCTTTGCAAAAATTGTACTAGATTTTACCAACGGTGTATTTCCCTATAAGCAGCCCTTAAAGCACTTTGTGATTTGTCGGTCTCTTCTTCCCAGGAAGTTACCCCCAAACCTGCTGTGATCTCTACCCCCACACCCACCATCGTGCGTCCTGGCTCCCTGCCTCTCCACTTAGGTTATGATGCACTTCATCCAACTCTTCCCTCTCCGACATCTGTCATCACACAGGCTCCACCATCCAACAGGCAAATGGGGTAAGCACGGAGACCAGAGAGAGAGAACGAAACCTGAGTTTCTTTCTTTGTGAAATTGTTTGATCAAATGAGAACTATCTGTTGTGGTTCTTCTGGGATGTTTTCTGTTTATTTGGTTAGTTGGATTTTTTGTGGTTTTTATTTGGTTAGTTGGATTTTTTGTGGTGGTTTTTTTTTTTTTTGGTTTTTGTTTGTTTGTTTCAAGGCAGGGTCTTTCTGGGTAGCCCAAGTTAGCCTCAAACTCTCATGCTACTGTTTCTGCCTCCTGAGTGCTGGGATTACAGGTATGTGCCACCATAGCTTGCTCCAGGACTTATTTTTACATACTTATGAAAAATGAGTTATTGAGACTGTTTCCTAAAACAAAAACATTTCTCTTTTTAAAATATTGTTTAAGATTTTAAAAATTATTTTTGTATGTAGTGGGGGTTGAGTATGTACATGTGAGTGTAGGTACTCACAGAGGCATCAGATCCCCCTGGAGCTGGAGTTTTAGGCAGTTGTGAGCCACCTGTCATAGGTACTGGAACTAAACTCAGGTCCTCTGGAAGAGCACACTCTTAAGCACTGAGCTATATCTCCAGCCCAAAATAAGACCTTTAAAAAATTTTTTTTTGATTTATTTTTATTTTTTATGTGTATGAGTGTTATGCCTGCATATATGTAAGTGCACCCATGTCATGCAGTGCCTGCAGAGAACTGAAGAGGCTGTCAGATCCCCTGGAACTGGAGTTATGAACAGTTGTTAGCTGCCATGTGGGTACTGGGATTTGAACCTGGGTCTTCTGCAAGAACAGCTGGTTCTGCAGAACTTCCAAGCCGTCTCTCCAGCCCAAAATAAGACCTTTAAAAATTTTTTTTTGATTTATTTTTATTTTTTAAGTGTATGAGTGTTATGCCTGCATATATGTAAGTGCACCCATGTCATGCAGTGCCTGCAGAGAACTGAAGAGGCTGTCAGATCCCCTGGAACTGGAGTTAAGGATGGTTCATAGCCACCATGTAGGTGCTGGGAATCGAACCTGGGTCCTCTGCAAGAGCAGTCAGTGCTCTTAACCGTTGAGCATATCTCTCCAGCCCCTTTTTTGTCTTTTTTGAGACAGGGTCTCCTTGTAGCCCCAGCTGTCCTGGAACTCACTATGTAGACCAGGCTGGCCTTGAACTCACAGAGATCCGCCTGCCTCTGCTTCCCAAGTGCTGGGATTAAAGGCATGCGCCACCACACCCAGCTTATTATTTTTATTTTATGTGTATGAGTGTTATGCCTGCATGTAAGTAAGTGTACTTGTGTTGTGTAATGCCCGAGGACAGAAGAGGATGTCGGATTCCCTGGAACTGGAGTTACAGACAGTTGTTAGCTGCCATGTGGGTGGTGCTGGGATTTGAACCTGGGTCTTCTTCAAGAACAGTCAGTGTTCTTAACCACTGAGCCATCTCTCCAGCCCCAAGACATTTTCTTTAAAAAAAATTTTTTTTTTTCCCCAGCCAAACAGGAGTGACAACCTGCCTATAATCCTAGGAGGCTGAGACAGGTGGATTTTGAGCCCAAGACCAGCCTGGGATATATAGTGAGACTCTGGCATTAAAAAATATTAATAAACAAAAGAACAAAAAACTATCATGACCTTTTTTAGTAGGTGAAAAAAATATTTATTTGGGGATAATACATCCATAATTTGCAGATTTAATGCCTCTTTAATCTTAAAAAAAAAAAGAATACTTAAAACCTTCAGAAGTTACAGTGATGAAGGCTAGATGAGGAAGGGTATTTGTTCTCAGCCTCAGTCCTGTTGAGTGAATGAAGGGCTAAAAACCTCTTGAATCATTTTCTTTCAATCTTTGCTACCCCTGATTTTGTGTTTCTCTCTACTCCTGGCAGAATGGATATACTTGAAATCCTGTTCCTAGGAACATGGGTTAAGAGTCTGTTGTAAAGAGTCAACTTTTTTTTTTTTTTGTCTTTTTGAGACAGGGTCTCCCTGTAGCCTCAGCTGGCCTGGAACTCACTATGTAGACCAGGCTGGCCTTGAACTCACAGAGATCCACCTGCCTCTGCCTCCCAAGTGCTGGGATTAAAGGTGTGTGCCACCACACCTAGCCCTCTTTTTTTTGAAGATTTATTTTTGTTTCTAGGTTTTGTGTGTGTGTGTGTGTGTGTGTTGCATGTGTGTGCTCATGTGTGTCCAAGAGAGAGAGAGAGAGAGAGAGAGAGAGAGAGAGAGAGAGAGAAGGTGCCAGTGGAGGTCAGAAAGCTTCTAATCCCCTGGAGCTACAGTTACAGACAGTTGAGAGCCACCCGCCACCCAACATGGGTGCTGGGAACTAAACTTGGGTCCCCTGTAAGAGTAGTACATTTTTTTAACCACTGAGCCATTTTTCCATCCAAGGAGTCAGCTTCCTAAAATGTATTCTCTGGAAGATATTAAAAAGCACAGCTTCTTTTGGGGGAAAGTAGAGCAAAACATGGAAACGAACAAGAGAAACATTCAGATTTGATCATTGTATAGCATAATTTATCTTTGAAAATTGACAAACTTTGATCTAATTCCCTTTTGCCCAAGGCAAAATGTGTTGATGGTGGGGATGTTTGTTTAATCATTCTAAATTCCTAATAGGATTCGCTCCCTACCATTGAATTTGCTTGATTTGCAAGGTAAAGGTTTTGCCAGGCTAGGAGCCTAGAAATGCAGCACTTTCTTAGTATGTCCAGTGCCCCGTTAATCTCTAGTGCCAGAAAACACCAAAAACTTACAGGGTTTTGCTAGGCAAAAGGATGTAATTAGTGAAATAAGGCTTGCCTAGCATGTTCTAAGGCTTTTGTGTTCAATCTCCAGAAATACTTTGCCATTTCTCTTTATCTGTTTTCCCATGCAAGGAAGTGTCAAGATTTTACAGTGCCGCTCTAGCCCTTCCCTGATGAGAGAAGACTATAAAATATGCTTTGATTATAGGAAGAAGACCTATAAGCAAAAGGTCTACTTTGTGACATTTCACTTCGTATCTCCTGTAGGTCTCCTACTGGTTCCCTCCCTCTCGTCATGCATCTTGCTAATGGACAGACCATGCCTGTGCTGCCAGGGCCTCCAGTACAGATGCCTTCTGTTATTTCGGTGAGCTTTGTCAGCCAACCCTACCAAAATACTAATCCCTCCCTTCCACCTGAATGATCATAATCAGAGGGGCCCCAGGGAAATGTGGGCCTGGACCATACTAGCTGAGTGTGGCAGCCTGCCCAAACTCTTCACTAACCTCTGCCAGTCCAGCACTATGGAACATTAGACAAAGACTCATCTGGACAATTGGCTCCTGGTCTAGGAATTGATCTTGCCAGCCTGCTGACTGGTTGATTTCACTTGGCACATAGCTTCTCCCAAATTGCTCACCACTTTCTTCAAGATATAGCCCCAGCCTTTCCCACAGAAAATGCCCTAGCACTGAAGGATTAGCTTCCATAGGGAAGGCATTTCCCAAGCTGCCCCTGCATGTCCTGTGTGAAGGTTGCACAGAACAGGCCCTCACATGCCAATCTCAATAACACTTCATTTGGGAAAACTATGTCTCCTTGTTTTTGGCCCTTCTCTTGATCTAGCTGGCCAGACCTGTGTCCATGGTGCCCAACATTCCTGGAATACCTGGCCCACCAGTTAACAGTAGTGGTTCCATTTCTCCCTCTGGCCACCCTGTGCCATCAGAAGCCAAGATGGTGAGTATATCCCAGCCCAGAACAAAGCTGGCCCTTCTGAAAGAAGTAAAATCAGGCTAGGCTTTTCAAGTGAACTGAACATAAGAACCTTCTGGGGTTTGCAAAGCTGAAGACCCTGCTGTGGGGTTTAGAAAAGAAGAGACACTGATTCATGAGTCTCATCTTTCCTCCCTACCTTTACAGCCTGATACACAGACCGTGGCAGGGAAAGAGGCAGCACAGATTGCTTGGAATGGAACACTTGCCGTTTTAGTTCCAGGGTGACAGATGGAAGGTGGGTGGGCAGGGGAGCTGGCCAAGAGGTGAATAGCTGCATAACCAGCATTTGGCCAGGTTCCAGGAGAGAGCCTTCATCTGGACCCTATTGCTTCAACAACCCTGTCCCCAACTGTGCCCAGGATGATAGCCAGGGAACAAAGCAGGCATTTTGGGGATCCAGGTGTACATTTTCTTCTTTTAATTCCTCTGTTAAGGGAAAATTGGGGTGGGAATTTTTACCATAAAGTCAGTAATAAAATCTAAGCCCATCCTTCCTATCTTTGACAGAATCTCTCTTTTTTTTTTTAAATCTTTTCCCACAGAGACTAAAAGCCACACTAACGCATCAAGTCTCCTCACTCAATGGAGGTTGTGGAATGGCGGTGGGTACTGCCAGCACCATGGTGACAGCCCGTCCAGAGCAGAGCCAGATCCTTATCCAGCACCCTGATGCTCCATCCCCTGCCCAGCCACAGGTCAGCTAGGCCACTGAATGAGGGAACAAGCTGTGCTACCCTTACTCTTATATCATGTGTTTTTCAAAGAGCAGAAAATTACAGAATAAGATTTCAGCTTTCTGGGTATCTTCCTGCTGCTTTGGGCCTTTTTGACAGGTTGACTACAGCAAAATAAACCATTCTTTATCTGTCCACCTTTGTGTTAGAGATACATGCAAACAGCCTGAATTATGCAGAGCTATTGCAGAGGAAGCCTCTATATTTTTCCCATATATGAATGATAGCTTAAGATATCTGCAGAGTCATCTGAACTGACAGAACCTCACCCTAAACCGCATTACACACTAAAAGGAGGCTCCTGTACCACTTGCTCATCTGTTAAGTCTTAATAAAAAATAACTTATCTGATTAGATTTTATAACATAAACCACACTAAAAGAATGTATTAGTACAACATGATATTATAGTAATAAAATAGATGGCTTATTAAAAAATAAGAAAACACAGCCAGGGGTGAGGAGGGTGGCACATGCCTTTAATCCCAGCACTTGGGAGGCAGAGGCAGGCAGAGCTCTGTGAATTAAGGCCAGCCTGGTCTCCATAGTGAATCCAGGCCAGCTGGGGCTACAGGGGGACCCTGTCTCAAAAGGAAAAAAAAAGAAAAGCCCACCAAAAAACCTCTCATTACCAATTCAATCCCTTTTTAGCACAGAGAAATAAAAAATCTAAAAAACTCAAAGTAAAAAAGCCAGGGGAGAGCCCATTTAGTTGCCCAGTTCTCTTCTGAGTGAGCTCTCAGGTTTAACAAGAATCATCTTCAGTTTTCATGATTGTCTGCACTGGACAGGTGACAATGACCTGAGATTGGTTTCTAGAGTTACATTCATTACCCAGTCCTTCTTTTACTGTCACCACCTGCTTCATCAGTTGCCACCACATGTCCAGACATTTCATGGACATACCCTGCCTTAAAGCTTGGCCAATAACACAGGTCTTCATTTGAGTTTTCTTATGAAATCTAAATCTTCCCACCATTCTAAACACCCTCATTCCCCATTCATTCTCTCTCTCTCTCTCTCCCTCCCTCTCTCTCTCTCTGTCCCACTGCAAAAAATAAGTATTCATACCTCCCTATAATAGCCCGAATTTCACTGGTAATGAAATTAATTAAAAGCATTTTTTTCTCCTTTTCTGAACCTGACACAGCATGTAATTGTTTGTATATAATTGCCTGTCCAAACGTGATTCTCAAACTTTAAACTCCCCTGTCATTCTCCCCTAATTCTGATTCCCTTGCCTATAAGATTCCCTACTGTAGAGAAACAAAAAGTGCCAGATATAGTGGCTTACACCTGTAATCCCAGCACTCAGGAGGCTGAGGCAGGACTGCTAGAAGTTCTAAGCTAGTCTGGTCTATAGTGAGTTCCAGGACAGAGTAAGACCCTATCTCAAAGAACAGAAGGGAGGAAGGGAGGCAGGAGGGACGGAAAGAGAGAAAGAGTAGCTGAGCCTTGTGTCACAGGCCTGTAACCCAGGGGTCACAAGTCAAGTCCAACATGGGCAGTTGAGTGAAATTGTGCCCCAAAGTGAAAAAAATAAAAACAAAATGGCCAGAGGCGCTGGCCCACACTTGTAATACCAACATTTGGAAGGTAGCAGCAAGCAGGATCAGAAGATCAAGGTTATCCTTGGCTATGTAGTGAATAGAGGGCAGCCCAGACTATATTAGAACCTATCTCAAACAAAAAGAGAACTAGGGTTACGGCACAAGCCTGAGGTTCAGTACCCACTACAAAAAAAAAGAAAATAGGCTGGAGCGATGGCTCAGTGGGTAAGAGTACTTTCTCTTGGCTCTGGAGAGATGGCTCAGCGGTTAAAAACACAGGTTGTTCTTGCAGAAGACCCGGGTTCAAATCCCAGCACCCACATGGCAGCTAACAACTGTCCATAACTCCAGTTCCAGGGGATCTGACAGCCTCTTCTGTCTTCTGCAAGCATTGCATGACACGGGTGCACTTACCTACATGCAGGCAATACACGCATACACATACAATAAAAATAATAAATAAAATTTTTTTTAAAAAAGTACTTGCTGCTCTTGCAAAGCACCCAAGTTCAGTTCCCAGCACCCACATGGCAGCACATAAAACCATCTGTAACTCCAGTTCCAGAGGATCCAACAACCTCTTCTGCCTCCATGTGCACAGGCAAGCATGTGGTGCACATTCATACAGGCAGGCAAAACACATAAAAATTAATCTTTTTTTGGTCTTTTTCAGACAGGGTCTCCCTGTAGCCCCAGCTGGCCTGGAACTCACTATGTAGACCAGGTTGGCCTTGAACTCACAGAGATCCACCTGTCTCTGCCTCCCGAGTGATGAGATTAAAGGTGTGTGCCACCACTCTTGGCCAAAAAAATTTTTTAAATGCAAAACCAACCACAAAACAATCCTAGTTTCATTTTCTGTGTGTCTCAGAAACAAACAATCAGTTTCCAGCAGAACTGTGACTTGTCAAAGTGTGGCACTGAGAAGACTGAAAGGAGATGGGAGGTAGAATGAGAAACTAAGTGGCATGGGTGGTAAGACTAACTGGGATTGCCAGATCTCTACCAGACCTTATTAATCTGCCTAACTCAGGCTTGATTTTGAAAAAAATTGATTTTCTCATCAAGTACTCTTCCTCTGTTGTGCCTAGTGGTGAGGTATATGCCTCCAGAGACCTTGTGTACTAGTTTGCTTTCTGTTCCTGTGATAAACACCATGACCAAAGGCAAGTTGGGGAGGAAAGACTTTATTTCAGCTTACAGGTTGACAGTCCATCTTTGAGGGAAGCCAGGGCAGGTGCTCAAGGCAAGAACCTGAAGGCAGGAACTGAAGTAGAGCCCAAGGCAAGAACCTGAAGGCAGGAACTGAAGTAGAGCCCATGGAGGAACACCTGCACAGGAGTGACATCACCCACAGTGGGCTGGGCCTTACCACATCAGTCAGCAATCAAGAAAATGCCCCATAGACATGCCCCCAGGCCTATCAGATGGAGGAAATTACTCAATTCAGGGTCCCTCTCCCCTGGTGTGTCAAGATGACACCCAAAGCTAACTATGACATTTAGGCAGAAGGATTGAAAGCTCAGGGTTGGAGCTGTAGAGATGGCTTAGTGGTTAAGAGCATTGGCTGCTCTTGCAGGGAATCCAGGTTTGGTTCCCAGCATTCACATAGTGGCTAATAACCATCCATCCATAACTCCAGTTCCAGGGGTTCCAACACCCTCTTCTGGCCTCCTGGGGCATTGCATGCACAAGTGTACCTACATACATGCAGGCACATACACATTAGAATAAAAATAATAAAAGATTTAAAAGAAAAAAAAAAGAGGGCTAGAGAGATGACTCAGCAATTAAGAGCACTGACTGCTCTTGCAGAGGACTCAATTCCCAGCACTCACATGGTGGCTACGAACTGTCCTTAACTCGAGTTTCAGGGAAATCCTCGAGTTTCAGGGAAATCCGAAGCCCTCTTCTGACCTCCGCAGCATTGCACGGACATGGGTGTACTCACATACATGCAGGCAATACATTCATACACATAAAATAAAAATAATAAAATATTTTTTTAAAAAAGCTGAAAGCTGGGCATGGTGGTGCATGCCTTTAATCCCCTTACTTGGAAGGCAAGGCAGGCAGATTTCTGTGAGATCTATCTATGCCAGCATGGTCTACATAGTGAGTTCTAGGCCAGCTACAGGGAGACCCTGTCTCAAAAAATAAAAGATGGAAGTTAGTTGAGGGTCAGGCTGGGCTAGATAGTTTCAAAAAAAAAAAAAGGAAAAGAAAAAAACTACCTTCTTTCCTGGGCAACAGGTCTCTCCAGCACAGCCCACTCCTAGTACTGGAGGACGGCGGCGACGCACAGTGGATGAAGATCCAGATGAACGGCGGCAGCGTTTCCTGGAGCGCAATCGGGCAGCAGCCTCTCGCTGCCGCCAGAAACGGAAACTGTGGGTGTCCTCCCTTGAAAAGAAGGCGGAGGAACTCACTTCTCAAAACATCCAGCTGAGTGTAAGTGGGTCCTGGGTGACTATGGGAACTGTAGTGTCTGTAAAGTGAGACTCTGAAAAGAGTAAAGCAATACAATAGAAAATGGTCATTCTTTAATTAGGGTAGATCAAGAAGAATACAGAACTTACTAGAATGGGACCCCTGTGCTTGCTCTGGCAGCACATACGCTAAAGACAGAACTGAGATCCTCCCCTAGCAATGGAGAAACAGACCATCTCCCTTCAAATGTGCCACTAGCACAAGTCATTCATAAACCCATTTGGGAGCTGGAGATGTAGGTCAGTGGCACAATGTCAACAATCTAAAAGGGAGACATTGAGAGGAGGAAGAAAACAGGTGGGGGTGGGGACATAGACCCATTTTGATGAAAGAAATCAGATTAAGCCCAGAGTACTCTTTTTCTTTTCTTTTTTTTTTTTGGTCTTTTTGAGACAGGGTCTCCCTGTAGCCCCAGCTGTCCTGGAACTCACTATGTAGACCAGGCTGGCCTTGACTAAATGTGTGTGCCACCACACCCGGCCAGAGTACTCTTTTAAATCATTAGTAGACTCTGACTGGAGTTATGGAACACCCAATGAGAAATATCTTTATTCCAGATTGTGATGTTTTTTCTTTCTTTGATTAACCTACACTAACACAAATAGAAAAGTTATAATCCAGGCATTCTCTTGAATATTATTTTCCCTTCTTCTGATTTTCTTTCTTTTTTAAACACTCAAGACATTATCACTGTTATTTAAAGCTTGATTTTTTTTTCCTTTTTTCCCCAACTCCCTTAAAGCTTGATTTTTATAAAACATTTAAAAATTAAAAGTTCTTTATTACAGAAATTAAACAATACAAATATCCATTGCTTTGTAGGTTCATAGTATATACATTAAAATCAAATAATTGCCTGGTGTAGTGGCGCATGCCTTTAATCCCAGCACTCTGGAGGCAGAGGCAGGCGGATCTCTGTGAGTTCAAGGCCAGCCTGTTCCACATAGCGAGTTCCAGGACAGCTGGGGCTATAGGGAGACCCTGTCTCAAAAAAGACCAAAAAAGAAATAATTACAATTTTCAACATGGGGTCTGTACAATGGCAGAAATGACAAATGGATCTAATAAAGCAGTATTTCACTAATTTCAGAAACCAAACAAAGATTCAGACGACCCTCTTTTGCTCTTTATATTTAGAAACCTTTCTACATAGTTTCTGAGTCAAGCTACTATCTACAGTTACCCCTTTAAAGGAGTTCACTTCCCAACGCTGACAGAATTCATTGGCTCCTCTTGAATAATGTGCAGCTCTCATAAGGTGCTGAGTCTACAGGAGGGTGAGCAGGAACCCAAGAAATGTAACAATCAGGCACATTTATTAAAGTACACTGTTGGCTTTTCCCCACCTTATCCTTAGTCACTGACAGGGATTTTGTAGGCTACCATACTATTCACTTTGTGGACTGTGGTAGTAAATAAGCGTAGATGGACTTCTTCAGAATTGGTAATGAACTATGGTCCTGATTCTTCCCACTTTTCAGGCACAACCAAATCTTTGTTGGTATAAATCAGTAGATCAAATGAACAAGAAACTTCCAACAGTGGCAGAAATGTCACGGTAGCCGTGATCTGTCTGATCATGGAGCGAATTTCATCCTGGATAGCTTTCTATGACTTTTCTCTAGGAGCACTGTCTTCTTTCGCAGTTTTGTCACACTCAATATCAAACTGCCATCTTTCAAGGACCTCACCACTTTCAGTATCTGAGATGACTACCACCAACTTCTGAACTGAGCACTTGTACAGCCATTCTTTTAGTTGCTCCACCACATTATTGAGATACTTTATGAGCTCAGGATCATAGTTACAAACAAGGTGAGTCCATATTTCTGCACTTGGGTGAAGGTTTCCAATGGATATATGCCCCACTGATACAAAATGCTGTTGATGCCAAATGAGAAGAACTCAGCCACGATCTCCATGCTCCCAAGCAGGGTGATGCCTTGCTCTCCGAAAGCTGCAGTGCCATGATTGGGCCCACGGGAGAACACACTCACACCATGCAGAGCAGAGCAGCTCCTTGGGCTGTTCCCTGATTTTATTTTTTAAGAATACTTTTTTTTTTTTTTTTTTTGGTCTTTTTGAGACAGGATCTCCCTGTAGCTCCAGCTGGCCTGGAACTCACTATGTAGACCAGGCTGGCCTGGAACTCACAGAGATCCGCCTGCCTCTGCCTCCCAAATGCTGGGATTAAAGGCTTGAGCCACCACACCGGGCTTTAATGTCTATGAGTGTTTTGCCTGCAAGTTTGTAACTGGTCCTGTGTCATGCAATACTCACGGAGGCCAGAAGAGGGCCCTGACAAAATGTGCGTTACAGATGGTTGTTAGCTGCCATGTGGGTGCTGGGAACAGAACTGGGGTCCACTGCAAGAACAGCCAGTGCTCTTAACCACTGAGCCACTGCAGTTTACCTTTTATTTATTCTTTGACAATTTCATATATGTATACAATGTATCTTTATCATATCCATTCTCAGCTCCCCATCTTCCAATTATTAAAACATTTACAAAGTACTATGTGACTATGTTTCTGTTATCTCATACACACAAGTATTGAATAAAAACAAAGTTTTTTGCTTTTTTTTAAAATTTTTGTTGAGACGGGGATCTTACTGTATAGCCCTGGCTGGCCTTGAACTCACAGAAATCCACCTGCCTCTGCCTCTACCTCTGCCTCTGCCTCCTGAGTGCTTGGATTATAGGCCTGTCCCAACACAACCAGCAAAGTCCTTTTTTTTGTCTCTGAGACAGGGTCTCCCTGTAGCCCCAGCTGTCCTGGAACTCACTATGTAGACCAGGCTGGCCTCAAACTCACAGAGATCCAGCTGCCTCTGTGTCCCAAGTGCTGGGATTAAAGGTGCGAGCCACCACGTCTGGCACAAAGTCCTTTTTTTAAAGTTCTTTTTAGTTTGCTTTTCCCAGTCCCACTTCCATTCTTTTCCCTTTAGATAAAGCTGGGTAAACTGTCAGGATATTTACATTTCTAAATACTTTTTCATTTATAAACAAATTTCTAGAAGTAGGCTTTCTTAGTCAAAAAGCATTACATTATATGCCAGATGTGGTAATGCAAACCTTTAATCCCGGCACTCAGGAGGCAGAGGCAGGCGGATCTCTGTTAGTTTGAAGCCAGCCTGGTCTACATAATGTGTTCCAAGTCAGCTGGAGCTACAGGGAAATCCTGTCTCAAAAAGTTAAAAAAAAAAAAAAGCATTATGTTATTAATTTGTGAGTCACTGTATTTATCTCAAAAATCTTTTTTTATTTTTCCTGTTATGAGTCCTTTTCACTGTAGGCAGCTCCTGTCCTTGAATTTGTGACTGTCCTGGCCCTTGGCTCTCTGAAGACTTACTGAACTAGTTATTATGTCCCAATTTGTGGAAGAAAATCTAGACAGCATTCTGCCCTTACTCTAATGGTCATAGAATTGTGCTCAGCATTAGCACAGTTCTAAAGTTACTATGATGATCATTGGTTATAGACAGCAAAAACTAATAAATGCTAGTTTTCCTTTTCCAGTTGAATAACTTCATAGAAATGTTGGCTGTAACATTTTATATAATAGCTATTAAACATCCAAAAGTGGAGGATGAATTTTCTTGACACTCTTTTTCTTCCTTCCCCCCTTCAGAATGAAGTCACATTACTACGCAATGAAGTGGCTCAGTTGAAACAGCTACTGTTAGCGCATAAAGACTGCCCAGTCACTGCACTACAGAAAAAGACTCAAGGATACCTAGGTGAGTGCTCACAGCCCAAGCAAAATCAGTCAGTTAGTAAATCAAGTGCCTCATCCGTTTATAAGACCATCCTAAATGTTCTGAGAATTCTCAGACTGATGAGTGCATAGCCTTTGTGGAGCACCAGTCCTACCCCTCCCCGCAAAAAAAGATTTTTCCACACATGTAATTCTACCACTTAGGAGGTAGGGAGATCAGGAGTTCATGAAGCCAGGTGTGTTGGAACACACCTTTAATCTCAGCACTTAAAAGGCAGAGGCAGGTGGATCTCTTCTAATTTTGAGGCCAACCTGGTCTACATAGCAAGTTCCAGCCAGCCAAAGCTACATGGTAAGACCCTGTTTCAAAAACTAATAATAATGAACCTGGGCATGGTGCTACCTGCATGCAGTCCCAATATTCAGGAGTCTGAGACAGGTGGATCATGAATTCAAGGCCATACTAAGGCACACAGTGAGACTTTGTCTCAAAAACACAAACAAAAAAGAAGAAAGGGAAAGAGTCAGACATAGTGGCATATACTTGTAATCCTAGAGTTCAGGAGGCAGAGGTAGGAGGAGAATTGCTGCAGGTTCAAGACCCACTTGGTCTACATAGTGAGTCCCAGGCCAGCCAGGGATGCATAATGAGACCCTGACTCAAAAACAGACAAGCTGGGCATGGTTGTCTATGCCTTTAGTCCTGGCACTGGGGAGGCAGAGGAAGGTGGATCTCTGAATTCGAGACTAGCCTGGTCTACATAGTTTTAGGGCAGCCAGTGTTACATAGTAAGACCCTAACTCAGAAAACCAAACAACAACAACAACAAACAGCCAATCAAAGAGGCTGGTGTGGCTGGAGTGGAGAGCATGAGGGCAGGGTAGTTGAAATGAATAAGAGGAAGTACTGAGAGCATTTCACATGAAGTTTTGTTGTTCACAACAAGGACCTCAGCTTTTACATCATCCATCTGTGGGGAGGGTATTCAGTGCAGGTGCAATGTGAAGGATGTGATCTGACTTATATTTGAACAAGATTACTTGGCTAGAGACAGCCAGGGTACACAAACAGGAGCAAAGCAATCCAACTAGAGAGCTATTATAACATGAGCAAGAGATGATTGAATCTTGATCAGGATGGTGGTATCAAAGAAGGTGAAAAGGGATTAAATTCAGGATATACTTTGAAGTTAAAGTGACAGAGTTGGATAACCGGACAGATGGTATGTATACATGAGAAAAATTTTTTAAAATCATACCAAGGGGCTGGAGAGATGGCTCAGTGATTAAGAGCACTGACTGCTCTTGCAGAGGACCCCAGTTCGATTCCCAGCACGCACATGGTGGCTACGAACCGTCCTTAACTCCAGTTCCAGGGGAATCCAAAGCCCTCTTCTGACCTCTGTGGCATTGCACGATACAGGTGCACTCACATACATGCAGGCAATACATTCATACACATAAAATAAAAATAATAGCTGGGCGTGGTGGCACAACGCCTTTAGTCCCAGCACTCAGGAGGTAGAGGCAGGCGGATCTCTGTGAGTTCAAGGCCAGCCTGGTCTACATAGTGAGTTCCAGTGTCTTAGAGTGTTCTTCATTGCTGTGACAAAATACTCTGACCAATACCAGCTTGGGGAGGAAAGGGTTTATTTGTCTTACATCTCCCAGGTCGCATGCAGTTCATCAGGGAGCCCAAGGTAGGAACTCAGGGCAGGAACCTGGAGGCAGGAGCTGGAGCACAGGCCATGGAGGAATGCTGCTTACTGGCTTGCTCCCCTGGCCCCTGCTCAGCCTGCTTTCTTATGCAACACAGGCCCACCTGCCCATGGGTGGCACCACCCACAGTGAGCTGGGCCCTCCCACATCACTCATCAAGAAGATGCCCTTCAGACATGGCCACAGGCCAGTCCAATAGAGGCAATTTCCCAATTGAGGCTCCCTCAACCCAGGTGTGTCAAGTTGACACTAAAGCTATCCAGCACATCCAGGTCAGCTGGGGCTACAGGGAGACCCTGTCTCAAAAAGACAAAAAAAAAAAAACTCGACTACTTAGCATTATGGAGTCACCCTTGTATGCAGCTCAATTATTTGTGTTTAGTAGTAATTGTCACTTTGAATGGTATAATATAACTCATAAAAAATATATTACATCATCAGGCTAATTGATAGGTAGTTCTGATTGATTTCTTTGTACTTTTATATGTTAACTGAATCCTGGCCATTCATAGCATTGTTTGATTATAACTTTATATATTTATCAGGCTTAACTGTTGTACCAACTACATGCTAAAGGTACGTTTCAAAACGAATAATTTCATTCCTTTGGGAACTAATGAGAGCAGATTAAGAGATCTATTTAAATTGCCTTTGGGGCTGGCAAGATGGCTCAGCAGGTGAAGTCACGTAATGTCAATCCTGACAACCTGAGTTTAATCACAGGACCCACATAAAGAGAGAGCTGCATGTCTGCTGACCTCCACATGCAAGCACACATCTACATACTCATGCCCACACAGAAGACAAATAAATGTAATTTAAAAAAAAAAATTTTTTTTTGAGACAGGGTCTCCCTGTAGCCCCAGCTGGCCTTGAACTCATAGAGATCTGTCTGCCTCTGCCTCCCGAGTGCTGAGAATTAAGCAATCTCTTTTTTTTTTAAATCACCTCTAAAGATAGAAATAAGAGAAGCTGGTCATGGTAGTACAAGTCTATAATCCTGGCATTCCGGAGCCTAAAGCAAGAGAATTTGAGGCCAGCCTAGGCTACATAATAAGTTCAAGGCAAGTAGGTTTTACAGCTAGACCTGTCTTCAAAAATAAAACTAGCTACTAATCTAGTAACTCTGGAGACTGAGGCAACAGGATTATCATGGGTTTGAGGCCAGCTTGATCTATGTAATAAGTTCCAAGCCAGCCAGAGCTATATAGCAAGACTTTGTCCCAAAAACCAAAAATAAACCAGATGGGAATAAAGGGAAAAGGTTCCAAACAACCTACTGAAATATGTAGATACCTAGAAGCCAGACAGTATAACTAACATGTTGGTGGAGATAGGTAATTGACCCAATTCTCTCTCTCACACTATTTATTTTTCTTGAGACAAAAGAGTCTATGCAGCCCTGGCTGGCCTAGAACTTGCTATGTAGACAAGGCTGGCCTCTGCCTCTGGAGTACTGGAATTGAAGGCATGTACCACCACACCTAGTGTCCTTCCCCAACTACTCCCCTCACCCCCCCCACCCCACCCCTTTTTTTTTTGAGACAAGGTCTCATGTAGCCCAGGATAGCCTGGAACTTACTTTGTAGTTGAGGATGACTTGAACCTTTTTTTTTTTTTTTTTTTTTGAGCCAGGGACTCCCTGTAGTCCCAGCTGGCCTGGAACTCACTATGTATACACGACTGACCTTGGTCTCACAGAGATCCTTGCCTCTAACTCCCGAGTGCTGGGATTAAAGTCACTTGCCACCACTTTGGCTAACCTTGAACTTCTAATTTCTAATAGTTCTTCATCTACCTCCTGAGTGCTAGGATCGTAGGCTACAGGTATGTACCACTATCCCTGGTTTATGCAATACTGGGATGTGAACTCAGGCCTATGTTCATGCTAGGCAAGCATTCTACCAACTATGTTATGGTCCTAACCCCTGGTTCTCCCCTCCCCCCGCCCCCGCCCAGTTCTTGCCTCTTTTCTCATAACTTCTCATTTTCCAGGTTGTTCATGACTTGAGGTCAGAATTCTGGGGAGTTTTCTACAAAAAAAGATGAGATTAATTTTCCTTCATATTTTGTGATTATGGGAAAAGGTGGTCCTGTTTCTTTCTCCTGTTTTCTAACCACTTGCTCTCTGCTGTTTGCTCTCCTTCCTGACAGAAAGCCCCAAGGAGAGCTCAGAGCCAACGGGTTCTCCAGCCCCTGTGATTCAGCACAGTTCAGCAACAGCTCCTAGCAATGGCCTCAGCGTTCGTTCTGCAGCTGAAGCTGTGGCCACCTCGGTCCTCACTCAGATGGCCAGCCAAAGGACAGAACTGAGCATGCCAATACAGTCACATGTGATCATGACCCCACAGTCACAGTCTGCGGGCAGATGATGTCTCCCATGATGGAGAGGTCCCCAGCCAGAGCTCGCCCGCCTGAGCCAAGAGAAATCAACTTACCCCTCCCATCTGCCTTGGACATGGCAATATGGGGGAGGGGGAATTGTGTGTTGTGAGTATGGACAGATGTGGGGCTTTTCTCTTTAGCCACATGATCATGTATGCTTGACACCTATACTAGGGGCTCCTGCTACAAAGCCACATAGATCATCCCCCAAGGATGAGGTCTCTTACATACCTTCCAGATGGTCTGAACAATCACCCCTGGCCCCAGTGCATGTGTACCTGTCTCAACACTAACCCTTGCAATTCTAGGTTTGGGGTTTCTCAGTGTCCTTTCTTCCCACTGAGCTGTGGCTGTTACCTTCTTGTTCCTTACTAGCATGCCACTTCCTGCTAGATAGAGGAGGGCTAGATTTGATAGCATGTCACTTGCTGTCCCATCCCCAGCCACCTCATGGACTCAGGACTTTGTCTCCCTATAGCTGCTTATTTATCCCTCCCCTTCCCCTTCCTAAATTCCAGTGACAACATTCAGTTATGGAGAATATAAGGTTATCTTTGAATATGAAGTAGCAGATTTTCTGCTCTTCCATATGCTTTATTCCTTATTTCTGCCTACCACCAAACAAAAGCAAAAAGAGGCAAGCAAAACAAGAGTTTTAATAATTTCTTATATATTTCCAAATCAATTGGGTACCTCGTTTCATCTCTTGACTCTCCTTAGTCTAGTGGTGGGGTCTTTCCTACCTTCCCACTAAGCCTTGGGAACCTCATCTTGTGGCCTTCTTGTTAGTGGCAGTGAAAAGGGAAAGAGCCCAGGATCAAACTGGCCTTCCCTACCCTCCAGTCCTAATCATCAGGGCAGACAGGAACAATTTAAGTTAAAGCTCATTCCATCAGGTTACTGGATTAAATAATTCTGGGGTTTTGTTTGTTTGTTTGTTTGTTTGTTTGTTTGTTTTTTGGTCTTTTTGAGACAGGGTCTCCCTGTAGCCCCAGCTGTCCTGGAACTCACTATGTAGACCAGGCTGGCCTTGAACTCACAGAGATCCGCCTTCCTCTGCCTCCCAAGTGGTGCTGGGATTAAAGGTGAGCACCACCACGCCCAGCAATTCTGTTGTTTTGTAAGAGTTTACTAGCCAAAGTGTGCATAGTGTCATCTTTGGTTGGTCCCCTGTCCACATTACTGCCTGTTCTCACTATAACTAGTTCATATCAGCCCTCCCGGAGGCTGTCATATAGGAGATGCTTTTGTGCTCTTGGTCTCTTGTTCCTCCTCCAGCTCTCAGCCTCCCTTCCTTTCTATGTCTTGTATTCACAAGTGCCCATCAACTACCTTGTCTCTCACCAGGTCCCCAGCCTACCACTAGGTGTCTCTAGTCCTGCAGTTTCTTCAACTCATTTCTGCCTCCCTCCTAAATGCAGAGCTTCTCCATGGCACAAGCTCCTAGACTCTGAAGCATTATAGTCAAGGTCCTGAGTGGCTTTTCTTGAGTATAAGACTAGGTGTAGACAGGAGAGGAAGATGTGGTATAATCTCACAGAGGACTGGGGGTCTAGCCTTTCTGATAGACTGTGGCTCCTATTATTTGACAGGGTGGGTTGCAGGAGGAGAAATATACCCTTCCTCGTCCTCTTCTGCATTAGGACTCCTCATTTTCCTTTGGCTCTGAACTATGCAGTTTCTTCCAGGGCCATAGGAAACAATCCAAAGCCAGGGGCCTGTGGATAGATAGGTCATCTTCAATAGCCCTCGAGTAGGAAACCCTTCCAGTTGTCCCAGAGCCACCTCCTGCCATCTGCTTAAGCCAAGACTGTCCTTTTCTCCATCTCTCCTGCCTCCCTCTTAAGCATACAAAGTAAATGCCTGCTTCCTTTTTTGTCTTCCAAAACTGGGTATCATGAAGGAATAAGAAAATACTCTAGCCTACAAGATTTCCATTTCCTCAGAGTATCAGACTAGTGAGCCCATCAGGTGACATTTTCTGACGGACTTGCTATACATCCTCCTTCCTGCTCTTTTCAGTCAGTGCTAAACAAGCCACACCTGGTGAAGATGAACGATCAAAAACATGGTTTTCTCATCCTCGACCCAACAGGAACAGATTCCCTAAGGTGATCAGACTGACAAATGTCATGGCAGATGGTCAGGATGCAGGTTACCACCTCCAGGGACTTCACTTGCCTTTAAAAACACAACCATGTCCCTTGTGGCGGCGCACACCTTTAATCCTAGCACTGGGGAGGCAGAGGTAGACAGAGCTCTGTGAGATCAAGGCCAGCCTGATCTACACAGCGAGTTCTAGGCCAGCTAGGGAGACCGTGTCTCCAAAAAAAAAAAGGGGGGGAGGATTAAAACAACTCAATAGCCATAACTTGTGTTCAGGACTTCTTTAGATGGCTAAGCCCTGGAATTTTTTTTTTTTTTTTTTTTTTTTTTTTTTTTTTTTTTTACTGCTTTTGAGTCCTGCTTCATTTTTTTATTGTCTTGACTTTCCTCCAGCAGCCTTGCACTAAAGCATGACTGAGTTTATGGCTCCTGAGGAGCCTTAATAGACCCTTGCCTATTTTTCTTTCCCCTTCAGTCAAGTGTTTTTTAAAGTTACGAATCAGTTTGTCACTGCATACATGCCCAGCTATTCTGTCCCTGTTGGATGGCTAGTTTAATATGGAGGTCTTTTTCACTCTCTTGTGCCCATGTCTAATTCTTTTGAGTTTTTGTTTTCATCAGTAGGAGGCTAGTATTTGGGATCTGAATGATGAGGGGCACCACCAAAACTATGGTAGGAAAGCAGCACTGACATTAGGAAGGGGCAGGATACCACCAGACAACTCACTGATCCTCAGTCTTACTCTAAGAAGGCAGAGCAATAGCTTACAATGAAGCTTCACTTACAGCCAAGGGGCATGTCACTTACATTGTTATTACTGCCAGCCATCACTCTTCCCTGAGCTTTGTCCTTCCGGACCAGAACCAGATATGACGGAGGGTGTCACGGAGCCTTTCTTGACATCTTGACTCAGATGTGTCATAGAAATGTTCTTCTCTGATCACATCTATTTGGGGTTCTAAATGTCTCCTGTTTGGGTATCAATTCCTCTCTCTAGGTTTGGGAAATTTTGTACTATAATTTCATTAAGTAATTTGTTTCTTTTGAATTTATCTCAGGACTTTCTTCTGCATGGATTCTGAGGTTTGGTCTTTTGAATGTATCCCAGACTTCTTGGAAGTATTGATCATATTCTTTGTTTTCTTTATATATGTCTGAGTGTCATTGTCTTAAATTTGCCTTCCATCCCTGAAATCTGTTCCCCTGCTTGTCTCTTGGTGATGTTTTTGAATGAGGTTCTCACTTGATTATTTCATTCATTTCCATAATTTCTCTTTTTTGTTCCTTTTCGGTGTTTCCATTTCCTTACTAAATTTTTCTTCCATATTTATGACTTTCTCCTCCAACTTACTGTTTTGCCAGTTTTGTATTGAATTCGTTCATTTGTGTGTTTATTTGAGACTTCTATATATAATTAATCTTTTTAAAAAGCAGGACTCTGAATTCTTCAGCATTTCAGCCATCTCAGTGTTTTGGGCTTCTATTATGGGTAGGTTTGGAGTGTGTCCTGGTGGGTTGTCTGTATTCTTTGTTGTGCTTTATGAATCCTTGTGGTGGATATGTCCTCCAGTCTTAGCTGTTCTTCTTTTTCCAACTCTTTATCTTATGTGAATCCACTGAGCTCTTAAGGACCCTATCAGAAAGAAGCTGAGAGTGTGCACAGGACTTAGACCTTCTCCTCTGTACACTTGCTACCCTACTCCCATATAAGAAAGCTTGGCTCAGAGTCAAAAAGGCCGAGAGAGCTTCCCAACAACTAGGGAGAACTAGAAAGGACATAGCTCCTTTACTTAACTGTTGGTTGGAAACCCCAAATCTGCCTTCCTTCTGCCTCTACTACTGTCCCTGGTGCTAAGTACCAGACCACATATTAATGGGCTGAGTGACCCTGGCCTTGCTGCCTGCCTCCCCTACCCCATTCTTGACTTCTTTTGTTGTTGTTTTGAAAGAGGGTCTCCCTGTCGCCCTAGCTGTCCTGGAACTTGCTATATAGACTAGACTGGCCTTGAACTCAGAGATCCACTTGTCTCTGCCTCCAGAGTGCTGGGATTAAAGGTGTGTGCCACCATGCCCAGCCACTTGACTTCTTGATTCACCTCTCCCATCTTCTCAGGGACCTGTCCTCCAGCACCATCATCCTGAGAGAGAGATGGAGTGCTGTGTACAGCCAGAACTACCAAGCAAACACCAAAAACATTCTTCTCTGGTTTCTGAGAGGCTCCTCAAAGGTGCTAACTCTTGTGATCACCCTGCCCAGCTTATGCCCTTTCATAACTTTCTTCCCATCCCCAGATCACTTTTCCATTAATATTATCTATTTTATCCACAAAAAGGAAATGTTAAATATTTCTCTTCTAAAAGTCATAACCAGTCTGTTTAGATTCCAGACCTCCTAGCTATACCACATCTTTGTGGATACTTTCTTTTAGAATTACAGGGTAGGGGGTGTGGAGGAACAGGACAGATGAGGATCCTAAAGCCTTTTAGAACACCCCACTACAGCCCAGCTAAATATCCTTCTCAGCAAGCCTTGAGTTCTGTTTCTGCACACCTGTATGTGCATAGACCAATCCTCTTACGTCCATCAGAATAGTGCCCCACAAGAACGAGCACGGTGGCTGTTGCCATCATTCCTACCCTCTGCACCAGCTGAATTTTCTCTTTGGGGTAAAATCCTACCCCCAGAATGAGAAAAGGCTAGCAAGAGTCAGTGGGCAGGTTCAGGCAACTTGTCCTTTATAGATAGACGTTTGTATTGTAGCTTCTTTTTTTTTTAGAAAGGGCTGGCAAGAGGAGGTGGGTGGTTTCAGGCAATTTTTCTTTTATAGAAAGAGTTTTTTTTTTTGTTTTTTTTTTTTTTTTTTTTTTTATGTGGAGCTGGTAGTCCATGTATCTCACCAAAGCCACTGGCAAGTCAGGTTTTAGCTGGTAAATGGCTATGAGCACTAGTTTCACTGACTTTACCTTAGGACAATGGCTCTCAGAACATGGTTAAGAGCATCAACAGCGCCATCACCTGGAGCTTGCTAGGAATCCCAGACCTCCTGAGCCAGAAACTCTGGAGGTGGGTTTTATCAAAAACTCCATGTGTGTCAAGTACACATGCACCTGAGGGGCAGGCTGGGAGCTTCTTAGCTCAGCGTGACAAGGATCACTTTAAATGCTGTCCTCTGCCTTAGCACATACACTTCCTATTTCCCCCAGTCCTCCCTCTACTCCCATTAAAACAATTACCACCACATCACTTATCTCAAATTCTTGGTTGGTCTTCCTTTCAGCCTTAGCCCTAAAACTTGTCCCTGCATTGGTCTGGGCAGGACTTATCCATGTTTCCTTTGCAGGCTGCTTGATGACATGTCATTACAAACCAGCAGGAGCCTTAGTTGTCCAATTACTCCTCCATCATGTATGTGACTTCTTGCAGGCAGGGATGAGCCTCCAGCTCCCTCAGTGGAGCCTGCCGCATCCTGATCTGTTGAGAAGCAGTGTGTATCTATGATTATATCTCCGTTCATCTATATATTTTTGACATGTAGCAATACCTCTCCTCCTCAAGGAACTCAACTCAGTCTGGGTCTCCCCAGGCTCTAGTGGTGGACCCTGCCAGGTGGGAGGATGCCATGCTATGGGCTGTTTTGTTACAAAGTTATCTTTTCTCCTTTCCCTCCACCCCATTCAGCATGACCCCTGTGAGCAGGCTCTCACAATCTCCCGGGGTGGGGCTGAGGCTGGGGCTTCGCACTCTTCTCCCTAACCATCCTTCCTTCCTCCATGCCACGTAGCAGTTTATCCCCCAGCCTTGCCTTCTCCCTTCCTCCCTTGCCCTGACATATATCGTGCCTTATTTATGCTGCAAATATAACATTAAACTATCCAGAGAACCATGGTATGTTTGGTGCTTCCCCACTCTCCCCACAGGGGCCACTAGCCACTCTTGGAGATTCACTGGGATTTTGTGTGACCTTCCTCACTCTCACTTTTTAGAACAGAAAAAGCAAGGATTCCCACCTCTGCTTTCTATAGAGAAGGCAAATTTCTGTGACACGGTGTGACAGAAGACAGAGTTCAGATCTTTGGACAGCTTTGGAGACAAGACATGACAGAAATACTCACCAGAGAACTTAATATGTGCTTCATGTGGATGGGGAATGGAGTGTCTGAAAGCCAGTGCCCTCTTCTCTTTCAGTGGTTTGTCTCCACCCTCTTCCAGCAATGGAAAAAAAAGGTCCTTGCCAGGTGTCGTGGTGCACACCTTTAATCCCAGCACTCAGAGGCAGAGGCAGGCGGATCTCTGTGAGTTCAACGCCAGCCTGGTCTACATAGAGACCCTGTCTCAAATAGACCCCCCCCCCAAAAAAAAAGTCCTACTCTCAAGAAATGTGCAGCATAGGTGGAGAGTGCACCCAGAAATAGACAAAGTGAAACTTTCTATAGAGGAGGAAAGGCTGGAGAGATGAATGGACAAGGGTATGGACTGCTCTTGCAGAGGACTCAGTTCCAAGCACCCACACTAGGAGACTCAAAACCACCTGTATCTTCCCAGAGGAATCCAATGCCCTCTTCTGGCTTCCTGCACTCATATGCACAAACCAACCGATAAATCTTTTTAAAAAAAAAAAAAAAAAAAAAAAAGGAGGAAATTAGTCTGGAAGTGTGTGGCAGACTTTGTTTAGAAGCTGGCAAGAACTGATAAGAAAACAGGTATTGCTTGGAGACAGGTGAAGAAGTACAGGTTAGCCTGGTACTTCTTACATCTAAGTATTGTTTTACAGTTACCACTGCAGGTGAAAACAGTGAGCCAGACTGGAGAACCTGACAAAAGACAGAGCAAGTCCCTCTGAGGTTTCTTGGTAGGAAAAACCTCCTTAAGGAAGTAGAAAGATGCCAGTGGTGAGCTTCCCTGTGTTGTGCTCAGGAGCACACAGGAGGGATGGTGAGATGGCTCTAAACCTAGCAACCTGAGTTTGGGCCTCCAAATTCACGCGGTGGGGGGGATAACCAACTCCAAGTTGTCCTTTGACCTCTACACATTCCCTGTGGCATATGTCCCTCCAATAAACATAAACAAAAAGGTGGTGCACACAGGGGTCCAAAAAAGGATGTTACAAAAAGCCAAGACTAGAGGCAAAGCAGTGTAAGGAGTGATATCTAATTTGTAACTCCAGGGAATGTAGAAAGCCAGCTGGACTAGCTTCTTTCTGAATGCAGCCTTACCCAGACCCTGAGTACTCAGGCCACAGTGTGGTGAATAGTGTGCCTGCTCTGTGTTGACCCAATGAGAATGCTTTGTATTCAGTGCATTAGCTGTTCACAACAGCTTTTTGTTGTTGTTGTTGTTCTTTTTAAGACAGGGTCTCCCTGTAGCCCCAGCTGGCCTAGAATTCACTGTGTAGACCAGGCAGGCCTTGAACTTACAGAGATCTGGCTCTACAGCAGCTCTTTTTAAAAAATATTTTTATTAGCTGGGCATGGTGGTGCACGCCTTTAATCCCAGCACTTGGGAGGCAGAGGCAGGCAGATCTTTGTGAGTTCGAGGCCAGCCTGGTCTCCAGAGCGAGTTCTAGGACAGCTGGGGCTACAGGGAGACCCTGTCTCAAAAAGACCAAAAAAAAAAATTTATTTTTTTAGAAGTGTATTGTCTGCATACATGTAAGTGCACCCATGTTATGGACAGTTGTTAGCCACCATGTGGGTGCTGGGAATTGAACCCTGGTCCTCTGCAAGAGCAGCCACTGCTCTTAATTGCTGAGCCATCTCTCCAGCCCCCAAAACAGCTACCTGAATAACAGGTTGGTTTTAGTTTTTTGTTTTGGTGTTGGAGGTTGAACTCGGGGCTCCAGCATGTAAGTTGCTTCATTTTATTGGTGATGAACTGAGGTTTACAAAAGTCACACAGACAATTACAAGAGCAAAGATGAAAACAGCTCTAGCCTTGTGTGGTGGTATGCACCTATAATCCCAGCACTTGGGAGTCTAAGAATGGAGACCAGCCTGGGCTACATACACAGCCCCTGCCTTAAAAAACCCAAAACAACAAAAAGCAGCAGCAGTGAATCATAAGATGTAACTTTAAGGAATGTCAGGTTATGTGGGATCACTAATGAGACAAAACTTACAAAAAAGTTAACCTAACCTTAGGTTGCATTGTCCAGAGCAGTCAGATCAAAACCTGCTCTAGAACTGAGGATGTAGCTCAACAGTAGATCACTTGTACAAGGCCCTGGATTTGATCCCCAGAACCACAGAAAAACAAAACTACCTCCTGCAACTTTAAATTCTAAGCTGATTCCAATAAAGCACTTCCCTTGATCAAAAAAAGGCACGGATGGATGAAATGCCTTCAGACCTATGAAGGACTTTTATGTATAAGGTGATATATGTTCTGAGATTTTTATGGAGCAAATGATAACCTCTGGTGGAGGCCACCAGAAGGCTAAAGCTAGCTTGACACAGGGATAAATATGCCCAAAGAATGTTTCTGGAGATGGTAAGGCATTCATAGCTAATGTTTGGAGAATGTCAGCTAGGCCTTACTACAAAAGGCATCCCAAATCATTTCCCCTAGGAAATAGTTCAACCTATTCTCATGTGTGAGGAAAGTGAGGTTGAAAGGTTGGGTAGGAGCAAGCTGAGGCAAAGGCCCTTCCCGCCATGGTTCTTCAGCATATGCTAGAGACACAGCAACTGACACCTGTACTTCAGATGAGCCTAGGGTTAGGGAAAACTACCAGGTAAGTTTGAAGAGCCCTTCTCTAACAAGGAGGAATTGTGACCTTGCCTATTCCTGAAGCAGGATTCTAGTCACCTGCTCCAGTATATCAGAACCAGAGCCAGGTAGAAGTTGTGCTGACCAGAGGCTGGTGGAACAAAATGACAGTCCAGCCCAACAGTACCCTACCTTTAAGTCCTGAGGCCTCGTCAGCTTAGCCCTCCGAGGCTACTTTAAAAGAAAAAGGAAATGGCTGGACTTGGCAGTGAGGAACAGTGGCCACAGGGTGGCAGTAGAGCTTCAGCTATGGAGACCTGCTCCTATGGAGACCTGCTCCTCCGTTCTGGCCAGCAGATTAAGACTGTCCATAAATTAGAAGCCACCACTACTCTGTAAACTCCCAAATCCCATCAGTCTCCACCCACAGGAAAATCACACAGTAGTGATTCCATGTTTAACTGTCCCAGAGGTTCCTAAGGCTGGGGATTCCATCATATGCTGGGGACCAAGCCAGGTCATCCTAGGCTACATGTCAATCCTAGTTCCCGCTCATCCAGGACATTAACATCCAATCCTTCTGACAAGGTTTGTCAAATCAGGAACAAGGGGTGATCAATTGAAGCTCTCCAACCTGTTGAAGGATTGGAGGGTTCTTGGAAGCCCCCTCCCCCAAGGCCTAACTCTGACAAACCATCTGCAATTAATGCTTCCTGAGCTCTGGAGACAGGATTTATGCATCTAATAAAGTCTGTAACTCCAAGCTTAAGGGCTGGGGGTGGGAAGCTGAGAGCAGCAAATCCCCAGGGGGCCATGGGAGGGGATCCCAGGTGGCTCTTAATAGAGCCATGCATTTCCATTGCCTGTCTAGATTTCCCCCCCAGGCTGCTGGGGAGGGGGGACGGGACACAGCAGGTATAAGAGGCTGGTGTGGCGGTGGGGAGGCTGGGTGGCAGCATGGATTCCAGGCCAGCTACTGTGCTGCTGCTGCTGTTGCTGCTAATGGACTGGGGCCATGCTGAAGAACCAGGGAGCCATGATGGAGGAGAGCAGGACTTTTTGGTGAGTGAGCAGACAACCTGTCCGGGCACTATTTCCCCCATCTCAGCTGAGACTTGTGCTCTAGGGTTAGATGTTCTCTGGTTGCTAAAGTCTCCATTCAAAGGGAAATGGCTCCTCAGCTCCTACAACTTGCCCCTAGAAGCCACTCCTTTCCCCATGCCTTCTGAGTCCAGGGTATTTGCCCATCTTCCCTCCCTGCCACAGGAGGAAAATAATGGATCCCACTTACCACAGCACGCTGAAACCCCAGGGTCACTCTTGCGCTCCCTGCTCCAGGCCATTGAGAGACCTGGTCGGAGCTCAGCCTTCCTCTTTCAGCCCCAGAGGTGAGTCTGAACAGGCAGAGGCTGGGAAGGGTAGGGAGCAGAGGAAGAGGCGAGGGAAGGGAGATGAGAGGGAAGGCCTTCTGAGGATAAATCTCTCCTCAGGTTTGGCAGAAATGCCTGGAGGTCCTGGAGCAAGGAACAGCTGAGTCCCCGGGCTGGAGAGTTCTGGAGCCTAGCTGCCCCTCAGCGCTTTGGGAAGAAGTAACAGTACCATCCCCCATGATGTTTGCATACATGGTCACCATCCCATGTGCTGTGTAAGCCCAAATAAAATGGTCTGGCTTCTGAATCCATGTTTGTATGAGGCTTTCAGGAGGTGGTGGGAGTCCAAGGGCAACAGTCACAGTTGTCTGTTCCTCCACCCACCCAAACTGCAGCAATGCTGCTGACTGGGTTCCCCAAGGCCATGTACCCGCCTCCTGTCTGCTGCAAGGGCAGGAGGGCTCAGCAGAGGAATGAACACAATGCTGACCTCTGCCACCCAAATGACCCTGGGCCAGAGAAAGCAGGGTTTAAGAGGCCAAGGAGCAGCATTTATTCTGGACTCCAGTAGAATCTTAATTTCCTTTCCATTCATCATCATGAGGATGAATGAGGCCAGATCCTGTGCTGGCTAGGGCCCTATGGTTCCTGGCTTCTTGTTTTCCTGTGCCTCTCTCAGTCTCAAAGCAGGCAGTCTATGTCAGAGGTAGAGCTGAAACCTCTGGAGGGTTCCAGAGCTGGACCAGTACATGAGCCCAGGGGAAGGAGGAGCAGGGAGCAGAAGGTTCATCCATCACTGCGGCTGAAGTGCTACTTGCTGCCCGCCATGATCTTGAGGTACTGCAGGGCACGGCAAGCAGCCTCACCTCGGGCTGCCTCCCTCGTAGTTGCAGAGCCATGACACACTGTGGCTGGCTGGGTAGATAGTTCCACTAGGCACTGGCAGAGCCCACTGAGGCTCAGTTCCTCTGAAGACCAAAAGACAGGAGGGAGGCAGAGTTGGGGAGAGGGAACACCAGGCAAGGTATAGATCACCAAACCCTCTGAACTTCTTTATATCTGCTCTAGTCCAGTCCCACCATCCCCAGCCCTCTTACACCAACCAGCCGTACCAATATCCAGGTAGCTGACGTGGAAGGCCTGTTCCTCAGACAGCTCACTGAGGACACTGCAGCAGGCAGAGCCCAGAGCCCCTAGGGAACCTACAGAGCAACTGCGAAGGGACAGGATCTTCTCTCCCACAGAATTACGAAGGGAATCCCAGGTGCAGCCTGAGCCCCGGTTCCGAAGTCCATCCAGGCGGGAGCCCACACCCTATGGAGATGAGGAGAGTGAGAAAGCAACTAAGAACTGTGGGATCCAAGCATCTGGCACCCTCCAACTTCCGGACCCTGACCTGGTGGCCAGGCAGCCTTCCTCATCCCAGTAAAAAGTTGCCTTCTGTCCTAGGCTAGCTCTCATCAGGGGCCTACAGTGCAGTACAGGCTGAGGGGCCTGTAGGGCTCAAGATGTCCTAGATTTGGTAGGAAGACAGAACCAGTCCAGGCCCACTTCCGAGACCCAACCCAATTCCCCATGTGACCTGGAGCGTGGCCCACACAAGCCACTCACAATGGAGAAGTGATCATCATCAGGCTCTGCTTCATGGCCGTCCCGGGCATCCAAAGGAACCGTGTGCACTCGAAGCAGCATCTTAGCTGCTGCATTACGTTTTGCCAGCTTTTTAGAAGTGCCACTGCCTGCATGTGGGGAAAACATTGCTGGACTCGGATTCCTAACAGACCAATGCTTCCCTCCAGGTTATTCTTGGATTAAGGGTCCCCCAAGGGGAAGACAATGCAAAGAGGAACCTGAGAAGTTGGAGGGCCAGAAGAGGGGGAAAGATGGGTAGGGGCAAGGAAGCAGAGGGGCAGGAGCTGAGCAAGGGGCTGCGAAGCAAAGAGAGCTGGGATACAACAGAGCCAGACTCAGAACGACTGTGCTCAGGGCTGGAGTGCAGAAGGGACAGAAGCTGTATGAACCCCCTTCTACCCAGTTACCAATCTCAATGAAACGCTCCACCCGGCAGGTCATGGTGAACTCTTTTCGGTGAGCTGGCCCAGACTCCTGGGTCACCATGTACTCTGGCAAACGCCAGCCTTTCTGCACCACCAGCTCCTTGAAAGGGAGACACAGGGAGCCCAAGGCTGAGTGAGGAGAGGCTCCTCGGCCACACAGGCTTCCACCCAGGAACCTCAGAGTCTGGGTGAAGAGGAAGGATGGAAAAGGAAAGGACCTCAGCCTGGGTGACCACCCCACCCACAAGCACACACCCTTGGCTCACAGCCCTAATTTCAGGAAGACAGCACACACAAAAATGAGGATGGGGCACACCTGCAGAGCACCGACAGGATTGCACTCGGACTGCTGAGGGGAGACAGGGGGCTGCATCTCCATGGGGGGGGTCCTGAAGGAAAAAGGGCCCAGACCAACACTGAGGAGAATGGTTCTTTCTGGGCTGCCCAGGGCACAAGTGTTAATCACTGCCATCTCCCAGTTCCCCACCAGGCAGGCAGCTATGTGCCCAAACATCCAGCTTTGCTCCCTCCTACATCCTCTCTCTTGCTCTTAATTGAGGGCCCTCTAGTTCCCAGGAGCATCCGGATAGTGGGAAAAGGGCCTACAGCCAGTCCTGGAAACACACCCCATGGATCTTAAACACAGGACTATCCTGTGGACAACTCAGAAAATGGGACTGGCAAGACACTTAAACATATCCAACATCCTACACATGGTTCCTTAAGCATCATAAATTACCTATCGCAAAACTTACCAGCTAGTGCAAATTTTTCAACTTTCTATTCTGTGTTTACCCTCAGGCCTCCACATTCCAACCTACCTGATCCAAGGGCTATGGGGCCAGGCCCTCTCCTCCCTCCCTCAGAGCTGTCAGGGGACCCAGGATACCTGGTTAGAATAGAAGATGGAACAGGAGCAGCAACTTCCTCAACAATAAGAACTGGAGCGTCCTCAGGCAATGAAGAGTCTGGGGGAGAAAAAGAGCTTCCCGCGGGAAGGGGGCCTTGGATTCACACCCATGTGGAGGGAATGGGGGATGAGGTCCTCCTGACCTTTCCAGACCCTGAGAGAATTCCTTCCCAACCTAGCCATATTCAGAGAGCCTCAACAACAGCTCTTCCTCCTGGGATCCTTTGCTAACCAACATTGGCTCAAAAGGACCAAAAAAAGGGGAGACTCAAAAAAGAGGGTCTCTTCCTGCCCAAGAATCATGGCAACAATAATCTCCAACCTGAACGTGGAAGAGCAAAGGCTATCTTGCTAGAAAGAAGGGTCATGCCAGGAACAACTCATTATCCTTAGGCCTCCACCCCCTGCCCCCTAACCCAGGCTCCACAGCAGCCACCGCCCTTCAAAGGGGCTGGCTATTCCCCCAAGACATCCTGGAAACACCATGTTTAGCTCTAGGGAAAATTTTCAGGAAAGAGCCAGGTCAAGGTGGCCACAAGTCACTAGGCCAGGCTTAAGGGGAGGAGTGGGTAGTGCAGAGGTTCCAGCAGGGCTTCTAGAAGTGTCTTGGCTGTTCCTCCCTCACCTGCTGTCCTCCAGGGCTGGTTCCAGCATGCTCCCCCCTTTGAGGTGTTTGAGGGCCACCTCAGCTGCCTTGTGCTTGGCTGCCTTCTTGCTGGGGCCCTGACCTGAGAGAGGGGGTGTGGGCAATACTGGAGGTCACTGGTAGGACGGCAGAGAAAACAGCACCCCACAGCCTCTCTCCTCACAGCCATAGGGAGTCAATAGCCCTCTGACCAACCTCCCCCTGCCAAGACTGGAAAGGCACTTGTTCTGGTTAGCTTTAACTGTCAACTTGACACAGCCTAGAGTCTTCTGAGAGGAGAGCCTTAACTGAGAAATTTCCTAGATCAGACTGGTCTATAGGGAACTGTCTTGATTGTTAACTGATGATAGAGCTCACTGTAGACAGTACCATCCCTAGGCAGGTGGTCCTGAACTATACAAGAAAGCTAGCCGAGCATAACTCTGCCTGCCAGGAACAGCGTCCGCCATAGTTCCTGCTACACTTTGGCTGTGAAGTGACTTCCTTGGTGAGAAGTAAAGCAGTGCAGATTAAAGACAGCAAGGATTCATCCACTCTCTCTTTGATCTTGACTATGGATGTGACTGGACTAGCTAATTGAGTTCCTCCCTTGACTTCCCCCCAATGATGGAACCTGGAATTTAAGCCAATAAACCCTTTCCTCCCCTAAGCTGTATTTGGTTGAAGTGTTTTGTCACAGCAACAGAAATGATACTAGAACAGCCCTTGTCTTCCATTAACTCCCAGACTTAAGCAGGACTTCTGAGCTCCAGCACTTTAGAGGCAAAGACTTTTTCTGTCTTCCTTTCATCTGCAAAACACCTTCATTTCCCTCAACAACTAGGTAACAGAGGATCAGTTGTGAAGTCAAAGCTCCACTCTGCCATTGCCATTTAATCTCAGATACTATTTCCTTTTGTTCAATATGGGATATAGAAGTCAGCAGTCAGTGCTGGTTACTCCAAATATCCACTAAAAATTCAGTGCCTCATCTACCTTTCTTCTGAGGTGATAAGGACCTAGCAGATCCTATGGCAGATCCTGCTCTCTCCATTGATTCTCCCCTTTCACAGCCCTATTCTCCCAGTCTCAGACAGTAGCTTTTGCCCTGAAATCTCTCCCTCCCTCCCTAGCCTTAAAGCAGAGGACTGTGAAGAAATTCTCTGATCCAAAGCCATGAGCCCTGTGAATGCACACCCCAGCCAGGCTGCTCAAAAGCCTTCCTCACCAGTGCAGCTGGTGTCGCCAACGGTGACCCGGAAGGTGAAATTAGGCTGATGGGCTTGGCCCTCGGCTTTGAGAAGGTCGTACACGGGCGTCTTCCCTATTCTGGTCCCATACTCCTGAAGAAGGCTGATCGGGGTCTTGCCCGGGTTGGCAGCCAGCATTTGCTCTATGCTGGAAGGGAGGGGCAAAGACCAAAGTCACACTTCCCCTTTCTGCACCCACCTGGCCAAGCAATGCCACACCAGCCCTAGCCACACTATAGGGGATATAGGGTCCACGGAACCCCAAGCAGTATAGTATCCATTGACTGGGTTAAATGTGAGGTGCAGCTGGAAAAACAAGGTCCACTACCCCAAGGCAAGTGAATATACAGTTCCTGTCTCAGTTAAGACGAGGGATCCGGAGCCCTAGTGCTGATTGGACGTGCATCACCCCCTGGCAGAGTGCAGACCAGGAACCTAGTACCCACCAAATAAATGCACTGAATGTGGGGGCATAAAGCCCAGAGCACCAGTGCAATCTGGGAATGAAGCCAACCCCAAACTAGAGCTGGAGGCGGTGGCTACTGCCCGAGTGCATGCCGGGAACCACTGCCCACTACCCCAGTGCTTGCCGGGAACAACCCTCAGGCCAGGTGCATGCTGGGGCCGCGCCGCTATTCCTCTGCATCGCCGCACACTTTTCGGCCTACAGGGGTCGTTTACGAAGCAGCTCACCTGGGCAGCCCGCAGCCTGTGGTGGTGCCGGAGCCCTGCTCCTCTTCGCTCATTCCCTCCTCCGTCCCTGCGGGCGCCACGGTGACTACAGCCTTCACGCCCCCCAGTACACCGCCGACGAGCTAGGGCCGGGGCCGACCCCGGAGTCGCGGCCGATAGGGCCCGCCGCGGGGCATGCTGGGATATGGAGTCTCCCGCCCACCCGCCTCCGTGGGCCTCCATGGGGAGCGGAGCTACCCGCCCCACAACCCTCCGCGTGGCTCGCCCTGGCGGCCGCACCGCCTTCTGGGAGGAGCGGACCCCTCCGTGGACGCCTCCCGAGCTACAAGTGTTTTTTGTTTTCTGGTGTCGTCCCGCCTTCTCCCTTCCGCACCGCCCCCCCTCCCCCCGTCGCGACTGTGAGCATGCGTATAGGGCGACTGAGGGCGGGGGCGCTAAGGGATCCCTCGAGTTTGGGGGCCCTTGAATTCCTGAAAAAACTACAGCCCCCAGGAGCGCGCGTGTCACCCTGGTGGCAGCTGAAGGAGTAGGGCCAAATGTGCTGAAGGCTTCGCGGCTTTATTGGCCATTCTGACTGCGATAGGCGGTGTGAGGTTGGCTACCTGGCCCAGAGGGGCGGGGACATGGAGTATAAGGGCCCCTCCCCCGCCTTCTTGGAAGGTTGTGATTGGCCGAGGAGGCCGGTGGCGGACCCTGGTTCCTTGCTGCACCCGCCCTCTACCCCCAGAGTTCTGGAGCTGTGTAGGTCCAAGTTCTCGGACAGCTCACTCACAGCCCCCAGCATAATCCCCTGGCCCCTCAGGCCTCAGTATCACAAAACCTGCTTCTCTTTCCTAGATTGTCCTTCACCTTTCTTCAACTCTGCACGCAGCCTTTGGGTTTCTTAAGCTTCCCTTCCCTTTTTAGATTGGCCTTGATGAGCTTTTCTTTAACTGACTGGCAGTCTGGGGCCGGAGAATCATAAGATGGGCCGAGGCATTCGTTATTCTCTCTACCGTATTCTTGAGTCAGCTGAAAAGAACAAGAGCAAGAGAACAATCAACTAGGCGCAGAGCAGGACGCTCACCTGTGGGTCCCCAAGGTCCTGACACCACTCGGCTGAAAGATGTAGGGGAAATCTTGTGACCTTGGAGAGAGATCATGAAAAACGCGATTCAGAGTGTTTTGAGAATGTATTTGGGAAGATGTCTTGCCTATGAAGGGGCGGGAATGGAGGTCCAGAGGAATCGGAATAATGGGGGTCATCCAGGAACACTGGAGGGGGAAGGGACTGGATGAATTCCAATTGGGTGAAACTGGAGCAGTGACAGGAGAAGGACAGCTCTGGCTGGCAAGATCGGTATGACAAGGGGCAACGCCAGAAGGTTGGACTCCTATCTGAGGGGCTGCTTTCTTGGAGAATATAGGAAGGAGTCTATAAAGATGGGAATCAGCATGTGGCCCAAATTGGGACTGCCGTAGAACACCTCCACGAAGGAGGCACAGGGCCCAGGCCGGCCAGGACCGAGCCTGGAACTCGCCGGATGGAAGCAGCGGGCTCCTTTAAGAGGCCGGCGGCTCCAGCGCAGCATCCCCCGCTCAGGGCGTGTCCGTCCCGGGGGGCCAGGGGCGGGGGCCTTGGAAGGAGCGGGAGTTCAAGTGGAGTGGGGACAGGGCTTAGAGTCGGGGGTGGGGGCAGAAAGCTGGGGCTGACTCCGATGCACCTGAACTCCGCACAAGCTTCGCGGTGACAGCGCCCTGGGTCCAGTGGAGGGCAACGGTGGGGGGGAGGAGTGAAGGAGGAGGAGGAGGAGGAGGCGGGAGCAGCATCCGGAGCGGAGCTGCAGCAGCGCCGCCTTTTGTGCTGCGGCCGCGGAGCCCCCGAGGTGAGAGCCTGGGCGAGTTGCGGGGGG